TCCTAATAGACGCTCAGCACCACTAAGATTTGGTCTGTGTCCCTAGGGAGAAAAGTTGAATGCCCCCTTATCTTTCCAGAGTTCTGCTTTCACTTTGTTTTTGGCCTCTCAGAGTGTTTACCAACTCAGTGGGACAGTTAAGAACATACCATTTAAAATAAGTTTTATCCAACAGCTGGAGTTGTCATCAGGTGGGTTGTTCAGAGTTCTTCACATATTGGACATGGAAGTCCAAAAGCCTGGCTCATGAAATTACTGAAAGGCAATGGTGACAGCTAGAAGCAGGATATACAGAGTATTCTCATGTTATGTCAAGTAATCCAACATTGGGCAGTAGAAAGCTAGAATGGATGTTTTGTTTGCAGTTTTTTTTTTTTTTTTTTTTTTTTTGGACAGGCGGTTTTTATCAGGAAATGCATCAGCTGCTACTAACAGAGACCAAGATGCAAATTATTTCTTTCCTAATAACAGAATTCCAGAGAGGACAGTCAAGGGCAAGGATATGGTAGCTCCGCAATATCTTTGGGAATATTGTCCTTACTGCTTTGCCTCTACAGATACCTCATGGCCCAGGTAGGCTGCAATCGCATCCATACTTTTTCAGAAAGTAGAAGGAAGGGGATTAAGCCCACAAAGGGCAAATGACAGTTGTCTGTCCCTCATAGCAGCTTGCCCAGAACTGAACTCCCAGCCAACCACCCACAGCTCAAGAGAGGCCAGGATTTACTCTTTCAACTGGTCTCATTGCCGCTGGAGTAGGAGGGGAGAGTCCTGGATACTGGTGGGTGACCAGCAGTCTCTGCCTCAGGACCCTGATGTTGTTACTCCCTAAAGCCTCCATGTCCAGGGAGAAGCAGAAGTCAAGATGGATGATTACTGGAGCAAAGAATCGGGGAGAGAATGTGGTAAAAAGCAGAGAGGGAGGGAGGGGACTTGGAGAGAGGCGCGTCTTCACTTGAGACTGAGAACCACATTTCTCCAAGGTTCTATCTGTGTGAGCAATAGCTGGTTTCTGTAAGCAGGACAAAAGTACTTTCTTTTTTTCTTTTGGAGATGAAGTTTAGCTCTTGTTGCCCAGGCTGGAGTGCAATGGTGCAATTCTGGCTCACTGCAGCTTCCCCCTCCCCAGTTCGAGCAATTCTTCTGCCTGAGCCTCCCAAGTAGTAGGGATTATAGCACACCACCACAGCTGGCTAATTTTTGTATTTAGTAGAGATTGGATTTCACCATGTTGGTCGGGCTGGTCTGGAACTCCTGACCTCAGGTGATCCACCTGCCTCGGACTCCCAAAGTGCGGGGATTACACGCATGAGCCACTTGTCCCAGCCCCTTTCACAGGAGCATGTGTCTCAAGCAGAAGCTGCAGTCACAACACTTGTTGCCTGCCATACCTGAAAAGTAGTTGGTCAAGATTTGGGATTACATAAGAAGGTTAAATCAGGACACAATGGCTCACGCCTGTAATCCCAGCATTTTGGGAGGCTCAGGTAGGTGGATCACTTGAGGTCAGGAGTTTGAGACCATTCTGGCCAACATGCTGAAACCCCATCTCTACTAATAATACAAAAATAAGACAGGCATGGTGGTGGCAGGTGCCTGTAATCCAAGCTACTTGGGAGGCTAAGGCAGGAGAATCACTTAAACTCAGGAGGTGGAGGTTGCAGTGAGCCGAGATCACTGCGCTCCAGCCTGGGCAATAGAGCAAGACTCCGTCTCAAAAAAAAAAAGGTTGAGTTTAAAGCTGGAGGTGGTAAATGCCAAAAATAAACATTTGGGCCCCCCCTGATGACAGAGGGACACCCTTCTAAACTGCCTTCCATCTCTCTCATAGGTGCCTTTCATAGGCAGCACGACCTTTTCTGTTTTTTTGTTTTGTTTTGTTTTGTTTTTAGACAGTGTCTCGCTCTGTCACCTAAGCCGAAGCGTGCAGGGGTGTGCTTGGCTCACTGCAACCTCCACCTACTGGGGTCAAACGATTCTCATGCCTCAGCCTCCTGAGTAGCTGGGATTACAGGCATTGCACCGCTATGCCCAGCTAAGTTTTTGTATTTTTAATAGAGATAGGGTTTTGCCATGTTGGCCAGGCTGGTCTTGAACGCCTATCCTAAGGTGATTGCCCCACCTTGGCCCCCCAAAGTGCTGGGATCACAGGTGTGAGCCACCGAGTCCAAGCCAGTGCAACTTTCTGAAGTCCTTCCGAACCATCGGGGGCAGCTCTGCTGCAGGTCTCTGAAGAAGCAGTGACTGCCCCCTCAGGGTGTGAGAAGGTGAAGTTCGGTGTGCAAAACAGAAGGCTTATGTAATCTATCCACATCCTTTCTCTCCTCCACAAAAGAAGGAAGTATTTGATTATATAATCTTAGCAATTTCACTATTCCCAATCATTTACTATCCCAATTTTCCGGAACACTTTCCACCAACCACTTTGGAAAGGGCTACTTAGGGCGGGTGAGGTGCCTCACAACTGTAATCCCAGCACTTGGGAAGCCTAGGATTGTGGATCGCTTGACCCTAGGAGTTCGAGACCAGCTGGCCAATGTGACAAAACTCTGTCTCAACATAAAATACAAAAAATAGCCTGGTAAGGTGGTGCTCCTCTGTAGTCCCAGCTACTCAGGAGGATGAGGAAGAATTGCTTGAGCCCGGGAAGTTGAAGCTGCAATGAACTGAGATTGTGCCACTGCACTCCAGCCTGGGCAACCAGAGTGAGATCCTGTCCAAAAAAAAAAAAGGTGGCGGGGGTACCTAGCACCTTCCCCACAGCCTTGTCCTCCAAGCACAGAAGACGGCTTCCAGGTGTCCTTGTGTACCGCCTGGTCACTGCTGTGTTCCTGCTGTGGAACTGGGGGAGCTCAATGCTTAAGCACTAAGTCGTATCACCTCTGTCACATCACTAATGTGCCGAAGGAATTAGAAAGAAGATCACAGTATTCCAGGGAAGTCTCCGAGAATTAATCAACCTGGAGAAACTTGCAGGTCAGGTTCCAAACCACTGAATCAAGTTGTCAGACAGCTCAATAGCTGCTGGGGTCCCAGGTGCCCTGAGGGCCAGACAGGGCTCATTTGCTAATGCCACAGGCACCTGAGCTTTTTCTGTACTCGCCTGGTGTGCAAGCAAAATCATGAGGCGCAGTTTTCACACTTCCATCCAAGTGGCACAGCAAATATTTAGAATTAGATCCTGTGTGGGCTTCACAATGGACTCAAGCTGTTCTCCGTCACTGTGGACGCTGCCCCCTGTTCAAGTACCGCGTTTTTTTCCTTGTAAATGTGCATATTAAGCTTTCAGGCAAATACAGCTTTGAATTTTCCACCTTTGTTCTTCCCCCAAGATCTCATTGTAATGTCAGCTACCAAGAGAAAAATCCAAGAAGGCAGCTCTCCTACAAACCCCGAGGAACCAGCATCCAAGTAAGAGGACTGACCAAATTTGTTCCATCCTGCAAGTAAAATTCCATGAAACACTTACATGGTAAACCACTAGGGAATGTTTTATTGGCAGCGCTGGCTCTTGTGTATGTGTGCCGGGTGCAGTGGCTCACACCTGTAATCCCAACATTTTAGAAGGCAGAGCAAGGGAGGATCCCTTGAGTCCAGAAGCTCAAGACCAGCCTGGGCAACACAGGGAGACCCCAACTCTACATTAAAAACAAAAAATAACTTGAGGGGGAACCCAAATAGCTCAGACACTTCTGACAGATAAAATGGGTCAGAATTGCTTGCCATTCTTTGAATTAGAGCAAAAATAAATTTCACAATATAATCTAAAAGAGCCCTGTGCCGATGCTTAAGATTTACGCCAGGTGTGGCGCTTCATGCCCTGTAATCGCAGCATTATGGGATCACTTGACTTCGGGAGTTCGAGACCAGCCCAGCCAGCATGGTGAAAACCTGTATCTACTAAATTAGCTGAGCATGGTGGCACATGCCTGTAATCCCAGTTACTCAGGAGCCTGAGGCAGAATTGCTTGAACCTGGGAGGCGGAGGTTGCAGTGAGCCAAGATCAAGCCACTGCACTCCAGACAAAACTCCAAACAAAAAAAGAGCGAAACTCCTAAAGAAAAAAAAATATGATTCCAACTAGCACTAAGTACTCTATCATCCAACACAAATATCAGAAAATATTTCCTCTAACTGTTCAGTATCAATGATCATTTATTTAAAAATGAGAAATGCTAACAGGATCTGGTACACAAAACATCTTGATTTTTTTTTTACCTCATACGGGTAATGTGCCAACAGCCTAACAACATTTGAGGGGGACACATCTCACACATGCACGTGATCACACTTACGAAACACAAAATGAGTTTGAGATAGTTAGTATATTTCTAAAACAATAATATAATGTCCTTTTATAGTAATCAGAATTAACAGACCAGGCAAGGTAGCTCACACCTGTAATCCCAACACTTTGGGAAGCTGAGGCAAGTGGATCAGTTCGAGACCAGTCCGGCCAGTAATGGTGAAACCCCGCCTCTACTAAAAGTACAAAAATTAGCTGGGTGTGATTGTGATGGTGCATGCCTGTAATCCCAGCTACCTGGGAGTCTGAGGCAGGAGAATCACTTGAACCTGGAAGTTAGAGGTTGCAGTGAGCTGAGATCGTGCCAGTGCACTCCAGCCTGGACAACAGAGCAAAACTCCATCCCCCCTAAAAAATTTAGTTAACAGTCTGAGATAAACTATTTTAGAGAAAACACATTTAACCAAATACGCCAGTAAATTGAAACCTTTCAGTTATTTCGATGAGATGTTTGTTTCACAAAAATTTTGTTTCTTCTAAATAGAATACTAAGATTCTTTTGTCCTAGAGACTATTGCTATAGAGTTGATAATCTCATTGGTCTTTATGAAATAAAACAATGTGTCTATAAGGCTTAGTTTGCAATTTTCCATTGTATACTTTTTCACATTTAAAACTAAATATTTCTTTTTATAGTTATGTCAAAAAATAGTGATGAGGTTTTATGGCTTACTTAAAATATAAATGAGAAAAACAGTTACCATACCAAGAGCTGGTTTTAATTTTTTTTTTAGAGGAAATACTATAATTTTAAAAGTTGTAAAATATTTAACAGAATTTCCAGCAATGATTATTTCCAAAATGTAAAGATTTAAAACATAATTTATATAAAACTAAAAATCAGAAGGATTCATTCTTGCTTTTTCCTTTTTTAAAAAATTCAATTTGTCACATAAAGTTCGGCACGTGATAGCAGCTGCAGCCTCAGTCCCCCTCGGAATCGCTGTCCCTCCACATGGGGACACAGCGCCGCACTGAGGACAGCAACACGTCTTCAATCTGCTTCTTAGGGTTTTCCTCCAGGTCGGTCCTAATTGCTCCAGATTCAGACAGTTTCCACTCCAACTCTACAAGATAAAGAACAATTATCAAAATTTGGCCTGGCACAATGCTTCACACTTGTAATCCCAACACTTTTTGGGAGGCTGCAGCATGAAGATCACTTAAGGCTAGGAGTTCAAGACCACCCTGGGCAATATAGTGAGACCCTCATCTCAAAAAATTTTTAAAGATCAACGGAGTAGGCCAAGTGGCTTGGCTCATGCTTGTAATCCCAGCACTTTGGAAAGCCAAGGCGGGTGGATTGCTTAAGCCCAGAAGTTCTAAGACCAGCCTGGGAAACAGGGTGAAAACTTAGCTAGGCAAGGTGGCATGTGACTGTGGTCCCAGCTACTCAGGAGGCTGAGGTGGGAGGATCACCTGAGCCTGGGAGGCAGAGGTTGCAGAGCTGAGATCACACCACTGCACTCCAGCCTGGGACACAGTGAGACTGTCTCAAAAATAAAAAGAAATAAAAAATAAAAATTGGCTGGGTACTGTGGTGGTATGTACCTGCAGAGCTATGTAGGAGGCTAAGTGGCAGGATCGCTTGAGCCCAGGACTTCAAGGCTGCAGTGAGCTATGATTATGCCACTGTACTCCAGCCTACTTGACAGAATAAGACCCTGTCTCAAAAATACAAAGAATAAACCTATTCTCTGATGACTACAATTTCCCAGTTTGGACAACTTCCCAGGAAGGAAATCAGCATGAAAAATTTGAAGGAAGTAATTTCTACAGGCCTGCTGGCAATCTAATCATTAAGTCTAATTTTAATAATCTATTTGGCCTCATGTCCAGTATTTCACTCTATTGGGGTTAAAGAATAAATGTATGGTGATATCCTAGAGCTTACACATTTGTTCCAACTAATAAAAAAAGTAAAATGCTAGATAATAAAGAACCAGTAACTGAAGCAAAATCAAGTGATATATTTGCCCACTGCAGAGATGAACCCAGGCAGAACCAAAGGACTACCCAAGAGATTCTACAACAAATGGCTTCGCTTAAAGGAAGATCAAGGCAGAGATGTTCTGCTAATTGGACACATTGATTAAAATCCAAAAACCAATTTTACTTAAGTCTTTTTATTTTAATCTACTTTTGTTGGAAACAGGGTCTTACTCCGTCACCCAGGCTGGAGTGCTGTGGCACAATCATAGCTCACTGTGACTCCTGAGTTTAAATGATCCTCGCTCCCACCCGTCTTCCTAGTAGCTGAAACTACAGGTGTCCACACCACACCTAGAAATGGTATCTCAATATGTTGCCCAGGCTGATCTCAAACTCCTGGCTTCATGCAATCCTCCAGCCTTAGCCTCCTAAGGTGCTAGGATTACAGGCTCTCTGGTGGTTATTAGGGCCTGAGGGTGGAAATGGGAGATGATGGTCAAGGGTACAAACTTTCAGTTATAAGATGGGTAAGTTCTGAAGACCTCATGTACAGCGTGGTAACTACAGTGAATAATAATATATTGTATACCTGAAGTTTGCTAGGAAATAGTTCTTAAGGATTCTCACCGCAAAAAGGCTATGTGAAATGATGGATGGTTAATTAGATTGTGGCAATCATTTCACACTGTACCTGTATTAAATATCCATGTTGTGTATCTTAAATATATTAAATGGTTTTGGTCAATCATATCTCAGTCATGCTGGGGAAAAAAAGTGCTCCATGAAGATGAGTAACACCAGTACCTTCAGCTCTAGCTACTTGGGTTGAATGTTATGCAAATTCAACTCTTAAATCAATTTCTTAAAAACGAAAAAAAGACTTCACTCCAGCCTGGGCGATAGAGTGAGACCCTGCCTCAAAAAATATCTATCTTTATATATCCATACATACATACTTAAATGTATTTAATGTCACAGTTCGCTTACACAAAGCAATCATTATGTAAGTTCACTAGACTTTTTAAAAAAAATAGAAACTAACTACAATTGCGTACTTCTCTCTCCTCTCACGGTACATTCAAAAAAAGTCAAAATACGATGTAAACACAGAGTTTCACTTGGCAAGAATGCCCGTGGGCTGCAGTTCTCTTTCATGTTCTGTGGATATGTATTTTGATATCTCCATGTGTAACAGGTTGAAAGGAATTAAAAAAGATATCCTTCCAAGCTGTGGGCAGAATTAAATAAAACTGTAATTTAATTTAAAAGCTACTGGCCAGGCCCAGTGGCTCACATGTGTAATCCAAGCACTTTGGGAGGCCAAGGCAGGGAGATCACTTGCGGCCAGGAGTTCGAGACCCGCCTGGTCATCATGTTGAAACCCAGTCTCTACTAACATTACAAAAATTAGCTAGGCACGGTGGTGGGCATCTATAATCCCAGCTACTTGGGAGGATGAGGCAGGAGAATCACTTGAACCCGGGAGGCGGGGGTTGCAGTGAGGTGAGATTGCTTCCTTGCACTCCAGCCTGGGCAATAGAGCAAGACTTCATCTCAAAAACTAAATAAATAAACTTAAAAGCTACTAAGATACTCGAGTGAGAATATTTCTACAGAAAAATACAAATATATATACTAACATCTCCCTGGGTTCATGTGAATTAAAGCAAAAGTGAATATTGTGATCACAAGCTACAATTTAAAACATTTTACTGTAGAGACAAAACATATTCCACGCCAATATAAAAAATGTTTATATTTAAGTCTATCATGCCTTTCTTGAACTAATAATCCATACAGCCCAGTTGTAACTGTTTCTGATTACACAACTAAGATGTGATTAAATGTGCTCTGTCTTCTTAACAGTCACTCACACACGGGCAGAAGTGAATTTGACCCACCATGATAAAGGAGTCCAGGAAACAGGCAATCCCTCCAACAAAAATGTACCTCCCATCTCTCACGGCCCCACCTGTCCCCAAGAGCCCTTACCATCTCTTGTCAGGTTCATGCCACCAAACACCAGAGGGCCGATAAACTGAGCCTTGATATCACCTTCCAGGTAGACAAATATTGTGGGCAGATTCCTATCAGGATAATTGGGTATGCAGGTTGTTGAAATGGCTTTGATAAACTTGACATCAGGAAACTTGCTGGCAAGTCCACTGAGGTGCTGATTTATCAGGGCACAGAGGGGAATCCTATAAAACACACAGAGAAAACAGAAGCAATTATAATCCTGCATTTATATATAGAACAAAGCTCAACGACCCTTATACCCTATATAAAACCTTGTAACAGTTTCATAAGTGATTCTGCTGCTGAGATGAATTAACTTTTCTTTTTTTGACATAGGGTCTTGTTTGTCACCCAGGCTAAATGGAGTGAAGTGGTGTGATCCTGGCTCACAAGCAATCCTCCCACCTCAGCCCCCCAAGCAGCTGGGGGTACAGGCATGTGCTACCATGCTCAGATAATCTTTTTGTGATTTTTTTTTTTTTTTTTTTTTTTTGGTAAAGACAGGGTTTAGCCACATTGCTCACACTACTTTTGAACTCCTGAGCTCAAGTGATCCGGCCGCCATGGCCTCCCAAAGTGCTGAGATTGCAGGTGTGGGCCACTGCAACCGGCTGAATTAACATTTTTAACAAACTTTCTAGGCCAGTCATGGTGGCTCACACCTGTAATCCCAGCACTTCGGAGGCTGAGGCGGGCGGATCACAAGGTCAGGAGTTCCAGACCAGTCTGACCAACATGGTGAAACCCCATCTCTACTAAAAATGCAAAAATTAGCTGGGTGTGGTGGTGCATGCCTGTAATCCCAGCTACTCAGAAAGCTGAGGCAAGAGAATCGCTTGAACCCAGAAAACAGAGGTTGCACTATGCCGAAATCACACCACTGCACTCCCGTCTGGGTGACAGAGAAAGACTCTGTCTCAAAAAATACAACAAAAAATCTTTCTAATATGCTCAGGGAAAGTGAAGAACACAAATCCCAATCCATATCAATTTATTTGGCAAAACAAGTTAGAAAAACAGCTTTAATATAAAAGATAATTGTTATACCTTTCTTAAAAAGTTGAATGAGAAAATGCTTAAGGTTTAGAATGTGTAAAATGTCAGAAAATGTTTTCTGCTTTAAAGAAATTCCTAAATAAGCACTGGACTCTGCAGTTTAAGACAAGACTGGAGAGCTGAGAAACAGAGGATCTCGGTATCACACAGTGAGGTCAATTACTGCAAAGGCCAACCTTGCCATCTATGAAACAAATTCATTACATAGAATGCTGAAATGTCAGAGTTCCTGTAAAGGAACAAATAACCTAGGAATTCCTTTTCAAAAATAGAAAGGCAAAGTCTGCATTACCACACTTTAACAAAGGCATTTGCATTAGTCACAAATATTAATTTGAAAGTCTTAAGATAAACAAATTAAGTAATAACGGTTGGGCAAGCCAGCAATAAAAACACAAAAAACTCAGTACCAGAAAAAAATTTTTTTAACCCCTATATAGGTCAGGCCTGAGATCCTGAAGCCATAAATTCAAATTAGCATTTGATAGATGGAGTGGAAGATCAGCTCACCCTTGTTTGTAAAGGTGCAAGATGACCCATAAGCCCTCACCGGCTTTGGTTACTTCTTGAACATAATCCTTCCCTGATATCTCCAAAACTTCTCCAAATTTATTCTTCAGTTTAGTTGCTTTCCACTCAGCCAGTCTCTGCCGTCTGCACAAAACAAGGAAAGAAACACACACACACAAATACGTGCACACATATATTTTCTAAAAGGCAATCCTGGTAAAGGCCCAGGTTTATTTATTGGTCGCATGGCAAAAATCTAATTATCAGTTTGCTAAAATTTGTGATATTATTTAACTGTAGTTCCTCCCAAATGTTTTCAGCTGCAAATTAAGTTTTTGAAGGACACTCATTTCATTTTATTTTTTGAGACAGAGTCTGGCTCTGTCGCCCACACTGGAGTGCAGTGGCACAATCTCAGCTCACTGCAACCTCCACTTCCTGAGCTCCTGAGTATCTGAGACTCTAGGGCAGTCACCACCACATCCAACTAGTTTTTGTACTTTTGGTAGAGATGGGGTTTCACAGGTTGGTCTCAAACTTCTGAGCTCAAGGTATCTGCCTATCGGCCTCTCAAAGTATAGGGACTACAGTCATTGAGTCATCTTGCTCAGCCCACACATTCTATGGCCATATACACGTAAAAAAAAACAAAAACAAAAAACAAACAGCCCCTCTGGGTAGCACTTACCTGTACATTTCAATAGCACGTTCATCCTCCTCATTAAACTCGTCTTCATGATCCTTCAGCTCTTCTAAAGTCATATCTTCATATGTTGTCACTGAATTTATTTACATTGGCAAAAAGCAAAAATTTAAAAAGATGAACAACATGCATTTTTCTTTTTCCCCCCTCTCTTTTCTCCTAAAGATATGCACACAACACCAGATCCTTAGCCCACCTAAACAAAAATTACTTAAGGCACCACACTAAATTAGAAGCTGAGAGGCTGGGCATGGTGTAAGACCTGTAATCCCAATTTCTTGACTGACAGACAGCTTTTTCCCCAAGCTCGCAGATCCTCTTCCCTCTCTCCTCCTACCCTGCCTCACCTCGTCTCATTTTTTTCTTCGAGACTGAATTTCACTCTTGTCATCCAGGCTGAAGTGCAATAGTGCCATCTTGACTCACTGCAAACTCTGCCTCCCAGATTCAAGCGATTCTCCTGCTTCAGCCTCCTGAGTAGCTGGGATTACAGGCATGTGCCACCACACCCAGTTAATTTTTGTATTAGTAAGAGACAGGGTTTCACCATGTTGGCCAGGCTGGTCTCCTGACCTCAAGTGATCTGCCTGCCTCAAAGTGCTGGGATTACAGATGGATTACAGGAGTGAGCCACCACACACTCTGTGTAAAGGTGAGGTTGCAGCCCCACTTTTGAACCCTTTACTGATTAAAATTCCCCAGGGCTCACACCTTTAACTACTTTCCTTCTTTATCCACAACCACTCCCTTGGCTTGCATCTAATCCCATGGCTTTCAGTGTTATCAATATCCTGACAACTCCCAAAGTACAGGCCTCCAGCCCAGAGTTTTCTAATCTGGAAGAAAACATAATCCAAGGGCCCTCTTAATGTGTCTATTTATCTAATAGGAACTGCAAAGTTAATGCATCCCTTGGCAGTGGCTCATGCCTGTAATCCTAGCTCTTTGGGAGGCTGAGGTGGGCGGATCATTTGAGGTCAGGAGTTCCAGACCAGCCTGGCCAATATGGTGAAAACCCTTTGCTACTAAAAATACAAAAAAATTAGCCTCATATGGTGTGATCTCTTGGGGGGTAGGCTAAACACAGGAGATTCACTTGAACCTGGGAGGCAGAAGTTGCACTGAGCCAAGGCTACAGCGCTCCAGCCTGGGTAACAGAGACTCCATCTCAAAAAAAAAAAAAGAAAAAAAAAAAATGTCACTCCTCTGTTTAAACTTCCAAAAGCTTCCTGTCTCATTAGGTGTAAAGGCCAAAGTCCTTACTGGAAGCTACTGGATCCACTGAGGCTGCTCTCCTGCAGCACACCGGCCTCTCCTCAGGGATTCCCAGCCATGCCACTCCCCCACCTTCAGGAATACTCAAATGTCTTCTTCACCTCCTTCAGGTCCTAACTCGACAACTCCCTCAGGTCTATTCAAATGTGTTCTTCAGCTCCTCCAGGTCTTTACCCAAATGCCAGCTTCACCTTCTTCAAGTCCATGCAATGTCATCTTGGCGAGACCCTCTCTGACCCTGCTTTTCTTTCAAATCTTTCTGGTCCCTTTTACTGCCTTATTTTCTTTATTGGTTACTGTCTGTCTCCCCCACTGGAAGGCTGGTTCTCTGAGAGAACTGTGTCTGGCTTATGCATAGCTAAGGTCCCCACCCCCAGAAAAGCACCTGACAATGATAATCATGCAGTAAACACTCACTGGATACTTTCTAATAAATCCTTCTCTAAATTAGCTCTAACGCGTTAACAGAGGACAAAAGTACTAGTCCCTATAACCAGTGCTTCTCAAACTATGGCATGTATCAGAATCCTTTAAGGTACTTGTTTAAAATGCAGATTCCTGGGCCTCATTCCAGAGACTCTGCTCAGTAAAGACTAGGGAGTGGGGTTTACCAGCACTCCAAGGGACTCCCATTCAGGCGCTATGACTGCCTGTGAGAAAACCTCCCTCAGACCCCCACGTGTCACAAACATCTTATGCCTACGCAGACTAAGCTATTTTTAGTGAATGTCCTCACTAAAACCACAGTGAATAAAGTACAAACACTAAAAACCTTGAACAAATTTCCATGGCATTATCAAAGGGAATCACAGACCAAAAAGCAGAAAGACTCAAGTATTTTCTTCAGTGCTCATCTGACATAGACTAGGGCTTGCGGGACTTGCGGGGCACCTCTGAAGTCTCCTAGGTCTATGGCTCAGGAAGGTAAAAACGAGAGACACCCTGTATCTTGTCTGCGGTCCCACAGACACAAGCAGTATCCATGCCAGCACCTGGCAAGGCAGTCAGAGGCTTAGGGAGCCATCTCCTAACCCAGACAGATGCAGAGGAAAGAGAGCAAACTCACCCACTGACTGCTGGATCCTGTGCTGCTCCCCTTCTGCCTCCTCTTCCAATTCTTTCAGACTTTCCTTGGGGGGCAAGATGCCCTTTTTGCGTAAGATGTCATTCCACTCAGTGTCTGCGTTGGGGTCCTAGAAGAGCAGGACCAAGATTACTGTGAGTGCCAAGTCTAGTATGGAGGGCGCCATGTTGGGCAAGGGGCCAAATGGGAAAAGTGACAAGGGAGGAATTCAAACCATATTATCCTGTGGACTATTTCTGAGAAAGTGTCGAAAGATCCACAGCCCCTGTTTTGTTCTTCTTGTCCACCCCTCTCCCAATGGAGGAGCTATTCTTGGGGTAAAAATTAGGATACAATAGGATGCGCAGATCGGCATCAATACTGCTACCAAAGCTCCGACCTAGCTTCTGTTCAATATTTTTATCAATGACTGAGAGTGACGCATTCAACAGATAAATTTAAGTACCACATGTAAATTACTGTATTAGGCAATGGGGAAGAGTGGTGAATGCAAGAGTCACCCGTTACAGTCAAAAGGAAGAGACAGGCAACAAACAAGTATATATACAAACTACACATTAAGAGATAAAACTGTAGCAAGTGCAATGACTGACAAGCTGCTAGTTTAGAGAATTACCCAGGACCCGCATTCCAGGTAGACAGGGATGTTCCCTACAGAGGAGGTGACATTCCACCAGAGGTTGGAAAGGAAACTGCGACTGGAGTCTGGGGGCTTGAAAATAATCCTTCAGGCAGGGTGCAGTAGCTCAAGCCTGTATTCCAGCACTTTAGGAGGCCAAAGCAGGCGAACCACCTGAGGTCAGGAGTTCAAGACCAGCCTGGTCAATATAGTGAAACCTCATCTCACTAAAAACACAAAAATTAGCCAGGTTCGGGCTGTAATCAAGAAAATAACCTTCCAGGCAGAGGGGCCAGGGACGTGCAAAGGGCCCAATAACAAAAGCCTGGACGAGGATCTCAGGCTGCAGATAAGGCTTGGCTGACAGATTTCTCTAATGGCCAAACCTAGGAGGAAAAGCTGAGACTCCGCAGAGTAGCTCAAAAAATTCGGGACACTCTTCTGAGCCCTTTTTCCTGGACCTAGTCACCAAATCCTTAACAAGCCCAGGAGACACACATTTACAGGTACTGCCATGCTGGAACAGCTGGCCAAATCAGCCAGGATTAAAATCACAAAGAATCAATGTCACAAAGACTGATGTAAATGAGGGCTCTCGGATCCAGAACCCAGCTGCCCAAGCACCGGTGTGCACGGTCTGGCAGGAATACTGCTGATGGAGCTCAGGCTTGCTTTAGAATATATCAGGAGCACTGTGAAAAGGGTACTGGGATAACCGACCTCCAGCCCCAATCTTGTGTAACAATTCTGAGATACATCAAAAGAAAAATGAGCAGAATCCTCACTACAGGGTAGTCAGGAAAGGCCTCCGGGACCTGTAGGACAGGATGCAAAGGAGGCCAGGTGGCCCTCAAGCTCCCACTTCACCATTTATTGTGTCTAGGCTGGGCGCAGTGGCTCATTCTGTAATCCCAGCACTCTGGGAGGCTGAGGCTGGGCAACACAGGGAGAACCCATCTATACAAAAAATTAGCCCAGTGTGGCGGGTGCATGCCCGTGGTCCCAGCTACTCTGGGGGCTGACAAGGGAGTATGGCTTGGCCCTGGGAGGTCGAGGTTGCAGCGAGCTGTGACAGTGCCACTGCACTCCAGGCTTGGGCGACAGAGCAAGACCCGGTTTCAAAAAAAAAAAAAAGTGCCTGGCTCCTGGCAGACACGCCCTCTCCTCCAGCCCCCTAATGCTGGTAAACCCGCACCATCTTGTCTCCATCTGCCATTGAGCAGAAATTAGAATTTCTGAGCACAAGATGGTTGGAGAGTGACAAAATTTACATGGTAGATTTTTACTCACAATGGTGACCATTTCCATGGTGTTTCAATTCATTCTCTTTAGGCTTTAACCAAATTCTGCTAGTAAATTGTAGCTACAGAAAAGTAACTTATTTTACCTATTTTAATAATAAAAAAAAAATGAACACGAAACAGAAGTAACCTCGGGCAGAGCTCTGGAACCCGAGTGGTCCGAGAGGGAGCGCGCCCCAACTGGACCCCATGGCTCGGGGGAAGAGGGTCTAACTAAGCCGTCACCCGGCGCTCAGTGGAGCCAGAAACACGGCCCGCGCCGCTGCTGTACGTGGCGGAACCGGACCCTCCGCTTCCTAACACATCTGCTAACACAATTCCTCCTTAGGGAAGCTAGGGAGAGGAAGCAATTTTTGTCAGGCGGGATCGGGCAAGGCCTTCAGAGGCCCGCGTTGGGAGAGACCTCGAGAGAAGCTAGTTCCGGAGGACCGAGGTTGGGGAGACCCGGCACAGAGGGGCGGGGACGCCCAGGCCGTGGGTCCTGGTGGGACCACGCCCACCCTCCCGCACTGCGCCTGCGCGGGGCCTGGATGCGCCAGGCCTCCCCAGAGCCTGCGGCGCCCGAGCTTCCCGCAAGGCGGGCGTCCACCGCCGGCCCGGGCCCAATGAGACAAACGACGGGCCGCAGACTCCAGACCCGTGCCCGGTTCTAGCTTACCTGCATCTCGTTTCCAATCGCTCAAGCCAGTTGTGCCACGGCGCCCCTGTCTCTCAGCTCCCTTTTGTGCACGCGCACAGCGTCGCCACGCCTCCTCCTCAGCCCCGCCCAGGGACGAACTGGGCGGAGTCAGGGCGGAAGCAAGGACTCTGCGTCTTCGCTCTTCAAGACAACGGCATGGAAGCTGTACACATGCGCGAGACAGGACCTGCCCACTCCCCTAGCCGGAGCGCGCTTGACCTGGTGCTAATTCTGGGCGCTGCCTTATTAGGGCAGGTCTTCGGCCGAGGAGGGGTGGGGCTGGGTGGAGGAGGAGCTCGGGCCTTTGGCCTTTTCCAGCCGCTGGCCCAAACCTGTAAAGATGTCTCGCTCAGACTAGCGTTAAGAAGTCAGAAATGGAAAATTGCTTCTAGGCCGGGCGCGGTGGCTCACGCCTGTGATCCTAGCCCGAGGCGGGAGGATTACTTGAGGACAGGAGTTCGAGACCACCCTGGCCAACGTGGCGAAACTCCGTCACTACTAAAAATACAATTAGCCAGGCGTGGTGGCGGGCGCCCGGTAATCCCAGCTATTCCGGAGGCTGAGGCAAGAGAATGGCTGGAACCTGGGAGGCGGAGGTTGCAGTCATCCGAGATCGCGCCACTGCACTCCAGCCTGGGTGATAGTGAGACCCTGTCTCTAAAAAAAAAAAGAAAGAAAATTGCGTCTCTAAAAATTAAAAATGATGCCGGGCTGGGCGCGGTGGCTCACGTTTATAATCCCAGCACGTTGGGAGGCGGAGGCGGGCGGATCACAAGCTCAAAAGATCAAGACCATCCTGACCAACATGGTGAAACCCCGCCTCTACTACAAATACAAAAATTAGTTGGGCGTGGTGGTGCGTGCTTAAAAGATGGAAGGGAGGGAGGAAGGAAAGATGGATGCAGAGGGGCCGGGCTCAGTGGCTCAGGCCTGTAATCTGAGAACTTTGAGAGGCTGAGGCAGGTGGAGGTCAGGAGTTCCAGACCAGCCTGACCAACCTGGTAAAGCACCATCGGCTACTAAAAACATCAGTTGTGCGTGGTGGCAGGTGCCTGTAAATCCCAGCTACTCAGGAGGCTGAGGAATTGCATGAACCTGGGAGGTGGAGGTTGCAGTGTGTTGAGATGGCGCGACTGCATTCCAGCCTGGGCAACAAGAGTGAAACTGTCTAAAAAATAAATAATAAAATAAAATGATGCAGGCTTTTCTGGAATTCGCCCACTATCATTTCAGTATCAGAAAAGGCAACTCATTCATAAGACATTGAGAGCCTACTATGTACCAGGCACTGGACTCTGCAGATGGAGCAGTGAGCAAAACAGTAAAAGAAAGTTGAAAGTCGTCTCGTCTGCCATGCCTGAGCATCAGGAGATCCATATATGCAATAGGGCGGGCACATAGGCACCAAGCAAAAAGCAGCAGTCTGACTTGTAAAATGCAGGTATTGGGCTCCAGAGCTTCCGCCCAGGCACACTCTGAGTTAAGTGAGCAATATTCCTACCTGGTATGGAAGGAAGCATTTTACACATGTGGGCGAACTTGCTACCTCCTGGCAACTAAGCGAACACAGATAATAGTAGCCCACACACCTGTGAGATCGGCGCAGGGCTTCCAACCGTGGCTATGCATTAGAATCACCTGGGAGCCCTCAAAAACTACGGCTGTCCCGGGGCTCACCCCAGACAAATTAAATCCTTAGAAATGAGGCCTGGCACGGATATTTTCTTAAAGACCCTCAGGTGATGCTAAGGTGCACAATCGCTGATAAAGAGTGAATCAAATGATTGCTTGAGAGCAAGGAGTTCTTTAATTTATAAAGGTCCTTAAGATTTTTCTAACTCTTTTCAACTGAATTACAGGCACTACTATGGATTTATCGATGTATCTGGAAGCACAGTATTTGTTAACGAATTTTCCTTGGTCTCACCACCAAAATCAGGACTGGGACAAACTTTGGGTTTGATCCTGTGCCTCCTGCCCAGTCCTGCACAGCAACAGAGCAGGCGTTGTTTTGTCCTTTCCTCATCCCCAGCCTCTGCTGTTCCCCGAGGCCTGTTTTCCAGGATTGAAAACAGTTGCTCTTTCCTCACATGATCCGGTCAGAGGCATTCCAACAAAGGCGACTCCATCTTAAAGAGGGGATGGGTAAAATGAGGCTGAGACCTAGTGGGTTGTATTCCCATAAGGTTACACATGCTTAATCACAGAATATTTACGCTTACGGGAATATATTAATAATGTTTCCCAAACAGACCCAAGTCTTAACAGACCCAGGAAATGTCCTGATGTCCTGAGAGCTTTGTGTTTTTTGTTTGTTTTTGGTTGAGACAGAGTTTCTCTTTTGTTCCTCAAGCTGTATTGCAATGGCACAATTTTGGCTCACTGCAACCTCTGTCTCCCCAGTTCAAGCAATTCTCCTGGCTCAGCCTCCCGGGTAGCTGGGATTACAGGTTTGCACCACCATGCCGGATTAATTTTTATATTTTTAGTAGAGATGGGATTTCACCATTTTGGCCAGGGTAGTCTCGGACTCCTGAGTTTCGGTGATCCAACTGCCTCAGCCTCCCAAAGTGCTGGGATTACAAGTGTGAGCCAAAGTGCTGGGATTACAGGCGTGAGCCACCACACCCGGCCAAGAACAAAAGCATTCTTCTTTTTTTTTTTTTTTTTGAGACGGAGTTTCGCCCTTGTTACCCAGGCTGGAGTGCAATGGCGCGATCTCTGCTCACTGCAACCTCTGCCTCCTGGGTTCAAGCAATTCTCCTGCCTCAGCCTCCCAAGTAGCTGGGACTACAGGCATGTGCCATCATGCCCAGCTAATTTTTGTATTTTTAGTAGAGACGAGGTTTCACCATGTTGACCAAGATGGTCATGATCTCTTGACCTTGTGATCTACCCGCCTCGGCCTCCCAAAGTGCTGGGATTATAGGCGTGAGCCACCGCACCCAGCCTCCTTTGCTTTCTTAATAAGCTTGCTTTCACTTTACTGTGTGGACTTGTCTCAAATTCTTCCTTGCCTGAGATCCAGGAACCTTCTCTTGAGGTCTGGGTTGGGACACTCTTTCTAGTAACAATCCCTCTCCAGGGATTAAGAACCTGAATGCCCACACCCTACTGCCTATTCATGCAGCAGTTTGAAAGGTGCCCTCTTACTTGTGTCAAAATTATTACTTTGTTATTCTTTCCGCCTGTGCTCCAGATCCTCTCACCTTCCTTAGGGACTTCCTCCATTTTTCCATCCTTCTTGGCTGTGGAGAGAATAATTACAGTTTATGAGAAAAGATTAGAGACATACGAATTAGCAAAGATAAACTATTCCTATTTGTGGATGATACAGCATACCTGGAAAACCCAGAGGAACTGAGTCTTCATGCTAACAATATGAGAATTCAGTGTAGGAGCAGGATATAAAATTAATATAAAAATAGTCTTCATCCATGTTTACAATAACAAAGCCCAGGATATAATGAACTCCAATTACAATAACAACAGAAAAGAAAAGGCACTTGGAAATAAAGTAGACAAAACCTGCATGAGTTAAATTATAAAACCTTTCGAAAACACAAAAGTAGACTAGAACAAATGGACAAACATCTTTTATTTTTGGATGGTTGTGGGCCAGGCGCGGTGGCTCAAGCCTGTAATCCCAGCACTTTGGGAGGCCGAGGCGGGTGGATCACGAGGTCAAGAGATCGAGACCATCCTGGTCAACATGGTGAAACCCCGTCTCTACTAAAAATACAAAAAATTAGCTGGGCATGGTGGTGCGTGCCTGTAATCCCAGCTACTCGGGAGGCTGAGGCAGGAGAATTGCCTGAACCCAGGAGGCAGAGGTTGCAGTGAGCCGAGATCGCACCATTGCACTCCAGCTTGGTAACAAGAGCGAAACTCCGTCTCAAAAAAAAAAAAAAAAAAAAAAAAAAAAAAAAAGTGTTGAACCCAGTGAGGCAAACACTGAAATAAACATCTATGAGAAAGTTTGAGTAACTCATGATTATGAACAGAGCTATTTTCCTAGAAAAGTTTTTTAGAGAGAGGCTTGCTCTGTCACCCAGGCTGGAGTGCAGTGGCACAATCTCAGCTCATTGCAACCACCACCTTCCGGGTTCAAGTAATTCTCTTGCCTCAGTCTCCCAAGTAGCTGGGATTACAGGCATGCGCCACCACACCCAGCTAATCTTTTGTATTTTTTGTAGAGATGGGTTTCACTAAATTGACCAGGCTGGCCTCGAACTCCTGGCCTCAAGTGATCTGCCTGCCTCAGCCTTCCAAAGTGCTGGGATTACAGGTGTGACCCACCATACCTAGCCTGTTTTTCACAGAAAGTTAATGGGCTATTGAAATTCAGCAACAATGGCAGGGCGCAGTGGCTCACACCTGTACTCCCAGAACTTTGGGAGGCCGAGGCAGGCAGATCTACATTAGGAGTTCAAGACCAGCTTGGCTAACATAGTGAAACCCCATCTCAACTAAAAATACAAAAATTACCTGGGCATGATGACACATGCCTGTAGTTTCGGCTACTGGAGAGGCTGAGGCAGGAGAATCGCTTGAACCCAGGAGGTGGAGGTTGCAGTGAGCTGAGATTGTGCCACTGCGCTCCAGCTTGGGCAATAGAGTGAGACTTCATCTCAAAACAACAACAACAACAACAAAGAAGAAGAAGAAAGAAAAAAGAGGCTGGGAACAGTGGCTCACCCCTGTAATCCCAGCACTTTGGGAGGCTGAGACCGGTGGATCACAAATTCAAGACCAACCTGACCAACATGGAGAAACCTCACCTCTACTAAAAATGCAAAATTAGCCAGGTGTGGTGGCACATGCCTGTAATCCCAGCTACTAGGGAGGCTAAGGCAGGGGAATCACTTGAACCCAGAAGGCAGAGGTTGTGATGAGCTGAGATCGTACCATTGCACTCCAGCCTGGGCAACAAGAGCAAAACTTCATCTCAAAAAAAAAAAAAAAAAAAAAAAAGAAAGAAAGAAAGAAAGAAAAGAAAAAGAGGCTGGGGGTGGTGGTTCACACTTGTAATCTCAGCACTTTGGGAGGCCAACGTGGGCAGATCACGAGGTCAAGAGATCGAGACCATCCTGGCCAACATGGTGAAATCCCATCTCTACTAAAAATACAAAAAAATTAGCCAGGCGTGGTGGCACGCGCCTGTGGTCCCAGC